GTCAATAAATCCTAATTTATGTCATATACCTACTAACATACAAATCTTTTTTTTTATCTGAAAAAATAAAAAAGTTATTAGGGGTGAGCCACTTTTGAGACGATCCGGTATATTAAGAAATATTGTTTCATAATGTAATATCATTTTAAAATTCTTGTATGTTATTTTAGATTCTGAAGATAATTTTAGAATAAACCGGAATATATTTTTAATAAAAACATTATTAATTATTAACAGGGAATTAATTATGATTTTGTTACAATGTAAGTAAGTAAATAATGTAATGTAAGAGAAAAAATTCAGATTTTACATTTTACTAAAATATTATCTAAATAAGCGCCTTTCTACAACAACGCCACTGACTCCTAATAGGTAAATTGAGAGTTGCCTACCGGTCGAAAGTCGTTTCAAGACTTAAATGGATTATTTAAGTCAAATTTTTTGAAAATTTGGCACTGTCGAACCATATTTTATAGTTCTTGAACAGAAAAAGTCAATAAAATAAACACTAAGGACTACAAGCTAAGAAAATGCGTTAATACAGCCGGGGACATAGCGGCAACAAAGCTTTACCGCACACGTGCGACGCGTACTATAAGGTAATAAATGAATGAATAGGCTCCCTCGCCTCTAATCGGTCTTGTCATATTGTAAAGAACTTATCCTTTTTAAACAGTATCCGACTTATAATTTAGTAGTATAAGGACTATTTAATACATCTATGGAATACTAAAACCTATTTTATTAAACTGTAGTATTAATATCTCAATATATGTGTATAACAAGAAAAAAAATATTGATAATATTAAAGACGTGACAACATAGGCTGGATGACAAAGGCTCGGTCGACTGTACCCAGAAGTAAACATGTGTACAAAAAATATTGTTTGACCGCGTTGAGATGTAAATAGTGTAGTCTATATTTTATTTTAAGTCTATGATTACCACCAACATAATTTTTTGTTACTAGTGTTTTCCAGATTTAATATTCCCTTTCGTAATTATTTTCAATTATATTTATAATTTTAAATTATTAAATCAAAAATTTGTCATTTTGATTTGAGGACTTTAAAAAAAACTTTAATTTGACACACATAAATATTTTGTTTATGGGTAATTAATTTTCTGTTTTTGTTTTTCTTCAATAGGTAATTAAATTTTCCGCTATTAATAATTCTCGAAATTTTCCTGACCTAAAGAATCTTTGTTTATGATATAAACAAAGGTACTCAAAATAAAATTGTTTATCCGTACAAAATATACACAAATATTGTCAATTAAGGGAATTAAGTAATAACTTTTGTTTTCTGTCGTCCACTTAATAAAAGGATAAACTAGTGCATATACAGTGTGTCCCCGGATTGTCTTTACAAGAGGAAAAACTTTTTTATTATTGGCATTTTGAGAAAAATGTATTCTTTCAATTTTTTGTTTATTCTAAAATGGGTTTTCCTAAGTCCTAAAAATAAAAAAGCGGTTCTATGGTAATATAATTTCGACCTCATTCTTTGATAGATGTTATTATTAGTTTTGATTAACGTCATATTTTTTGCTGTTGTTGAAGTATCAAATTTTCCGATAACTACTACCACCCTTTCCGTAAGCATTGAACTAAATAAATTTTGCGCTTCCTTAACATTTTAAAACAACAAAAAATATGACGTTAATTAAAATTCTAACAACAATAATCTATCAAAGAATGAAAACGAAATTATATTACGCGTTTTGATTTTTAGGATTTAGAAAAAAATCAACTATATTTTCATGTTTTTTCTAATTTCCTCAAAAAGCGTAAGAAAATTTGGAAAAATATAAACAGGATTAACCACTTTAGAAATAAGCAAAAAAAATGAAGAATGCATTTTTCTCAAAAATCTCAATAATAAAAAAGTGTTTCCTCTTGTAAAACAATCCGGGGACATACTGTACAATAAGAGCATATGCAGGCAGTAATAATGAAAAAATAATAGGAGAACAGAAGAACTACCAATATTAATTTTTTAAACCTTTTTCATGATGTAGTACAACTGGTAGACCATAGTGAGAAAAATAACGTGCGGAAAAATCACCATTTCAAAAAGTTAATTAGGTATTTTTATAACGTGGTCTGACGATATAAAATATGTTCATAAATTGAGTATTTAAAGAGAAAATTGTTCTTATTTCTGAGACATGTAATAACTTATTTCATTTCTTATTTCTTTAGTCTTGTATTGTTTGTACCAGCAATATGCTAAATAAAGATTATTATTCTTATTATTATGAACGAAATTACCCATTTTAGAAGCAATTTTTTTAAAGAATGCATTTTTCTCAAAAATTAATAGGTAATAAAAAGTTTTTCCCGAGGTTTTTCTTTTTGTAAAGACAATCCAGGGACATCCCGTATATCTAAGTAACATAAATTTATATCTTTTCGCTAAATATATTCCGAGATCTATACCTATCGTCCCTGGATTCGTCCGTAAATCTGTGAACAAGGGACAAAAAATCATAGTTTTTTCATATTTTTTGTCCTGTGTTTTTCAGTACTTTTGAAACTTCAAGCCAACTTCTTCCAAATAAAGAAAACAATAAATAAATATCTAGTACCAAAAAAAAACCGTCAATAGCAAATGCGTCTTTCTACCTGTCGTGTAACGCTACTACCCTTCAAAAAGGTCACCCCAAGATCGTAACTGTCGTTCCTGAAAGCCTAGCAGCCTCGATTTATTTGTAATCTCGTCGTCCCCTGCACAAGGAACAAACACAACATTCGAAAATACCGACTGACGATGATCTCTCCATTCTTTCGGTCAAACAATAAGACTTGCATTAACCCCTATTTTTATTATTAGCCCTAAACCATCAGGGGAACGCGCTATTTTAAACAGAGCTCAAATAAAAATCCATTGCGGAATTACGACTTATGACTGGCTACTACGCGACGTGAAAACGTACGCTCGTGTTCCACGTTTCTCAATTTTTTTCGACTCTTTTCTCCAGTAAGAAATCTTGTTTTGATGGTCGACTTGGTTCGAATTTTGTTTAAGGAGTGTTTTATAAAAATATAAAATCAAATGCAGTCTATACCTATAAAGTACCAGTGAAAATGTAAGGTAATGATTTATAAATAGCCTAGGAAGATAATTAATCGATAGGTGTATGGGTTTGAAAAATATTTTAGAGTACTTAGGTATTTTTGCAATAATATGAGCTACCTATATACAACATATTCGAAAAAGAGGCGTCAAATTCTCTTCGAAATTGCGATCGATAACATCCAGCATTTAGGTACCTAGTTTAAAATTTTACATTATAAAAATGTCATCTAGGTATCGTCGATTCTATGACACCTTTCTTGACGCCATTTTTATTCATACCGTATGTAGGTAGTACCGTATTATGAAAAAAAAAACAGCATCTAGTTGGCATGGAAATAACGATCGATGACATTCCCCATATAATTTTACGTACTTATAAGCATATACAGCGATCTTCATTTCATAGCCATAGTTGACGCCGTTTTTCTTTTCGATAAAATTTACTTTATATATATTAATTAATTAAATTATTCAAATACGTTTAATATGATCGAAAAAAAAACGGCGTCAGTGATGGCTATGAAATGAAGATCCCTGTCATTTTATATTTATGTACCTATATAAAATTATATGGAGATAAAAATATGGTCGATTATTAATTTCCAAGTCAACTGGACACACTTTTTTTCCAATCATGCGGTATTTATAGGTATATTTAAATCAACATAAAATTTAAGATCATAGAAACTCTCAGAAATTGTAAAATCTTCAATATTTCGAAGTATTCAATATTTTGAAGCAAAAAAAATAACTTTCTCTAAATTCATAGGTACCTACCTACCTAGTGATTAAAAAGTTTTGTGATCAAGTGAGTTTTGTATTGAAACAGATCAACAATTCATAAGAATTGTTGATAACCGATAATTATCGATAATATTATATATAGTTTATACAATTGTATAAACCGTATGATCGAAAAAAAACGGCGTCAGCGATAGCTATGAAATGAAGATCGCTGTCATTTTACCTATATGGTAAATGTCATATAGGTAATTTCCCAGCTGACTCCGTTTGATAGGCTTCCCAGCAGACTCCGTTTTTTTTTCGATCATACGGAAGTATATTAAATAAGTACCTACCTAACAACATATTTTTTTATATTTTTTTTAATGGTGAAGACAAAGAAAAAACTTTGATCGTACACCTTTTATATACCTATAATCTTATCAGGACGACATGTAGTCGTTTATTTAGAAATACCTATATCTGCTAATATTAAATACAAGATTAAATCTAGTGTTCTCAAATAAGTACCTAGGTCCCTATAACTTTAATAATTCTGAAAATTACTTTTTCAACTATTAAAATCAGTAATTTTCAATTGTTTCAACTTATCAATTATTGCGTTTTTGTTAAATAAGAAAAATGCCGACAATAGGATGATTATTTAATAAAACAGTGGTTTCTTGGAATTGCGATTTTTTCTCCTATTCAAAGTCGACAAACAAATACGATAAGTTAAAAAAGATTAGCACATACACAAAAAAGAATTCGCCTGTTCTCTGTTAAGAGATCACCATACTTGGTTATATCGATTCTGTTTTAAAATATCTACGATATTCTTTTGTCTACTGTTCAGTAGTTCAGCTACCTATTTAGTGTTCAATCAGACTGAAATTATACTATAATAATATACCAACTTAGGTACAAATAAAAATTCCATATGGAGATATTGTTATTAAGTATACCGACTCATTTCTCGTATATTAGGGAATAAAATGAAATCCATTCGTTTTCTCATTGTTATCTTTATCTTAAATAATTAATTAAATATAAGATAGGATATTTGGGTTAAGGATTATAAAAATAACATGACCTCTGGCCTAGGCCCTTAGAGGCAAAGCTGGCTAGATTAAAAAGGCGTATACTGAATATGAAAATATAAATAAATCTAAAGGTGTGTATAATGATAATTACCGTTTGAAATGCTCTCTGATTCGGTCTTCTCTAATATTCTCGGGTAAATTTCCTACCCACAAGTGTCTAGTCTCTCTGACCATCGTGCCCTGAACACCACATTGAGGAAACGTTGTTTTTGGACGCACTAGAACACTATTTCACAGAAAACCACAGCCGCCTCATGTTGCACACTTTCCGGTTCACCTTTCAATGTAGACGCCACCACACTGACCCGCACACTTCACATCACTGGCTTTCGTCACACCGATCCCTTTTTGACGGGTTTTCACTATTTTTTGGGCTGATATTTTGCACTTAAGCGCCCGGGTAAGTGGGCCTTTTTAACTTCCTATGGTTCTATTCACTCGACGTACTGATGACGCGGACCCGAATGCTATGCTCCGCTCCGTCGAGAGCTGCGCGCACGTTGCCACTTCTTCTCGCTAGGATATCCTAAAAGTAATGTGGCTGACTACAAAGATCAAAATTTATTCTGTGAATACGTACCTATCGATAAACTAAAAACAATGACATCAATATGCGTAAATTACTATTTACTGTTTTAATATGCAATTTCAAAAATAATGTTTATCAAGACTATCATAACATATCTACCTAGGTACCTAGTAAAATTTTTACTGTATATGGTTGCTTGTTACCTATTGTGTGTGTAGGTACACTACAATTTGTTATAACTTTGTTAAGACTGTTTTAACTAAAAATATTAACAAAAAAATCTTAATACTGTCTGGATAAATAAACAATACACAATACACATAAAATGTTTAACATATTTTATTAGAAGATTTCATTTATTATACAAATAAAAAGATAATATAATTTACAAAAATAAATTGCTTTTTGGCACATTACACTGCTTCATTACTGGCTAGTAATATTTTGTCAATTCCTTGTCCTTAACATACATAAATATAATTCGTAATAACGTTACTACATCTAAGCAAATTTATTTTTAGTTTCAAAATGCGGAACGAAAAAACATCGCTATTAATTTACAAACAGAAAATACCAATAGCTCCTATACCTACATATTCATTTGACCGATATCTACAAACAAACCATCGATTGGGCAACATCGGCCTCGGCCGAATCAATCTAGGCGCTACGGTTGCGCGAGGGCGCCGTGACCGCACGTTGGAAAAGAGGCGGCCGATTACGGCACGCGATTTCTATCTTCGGAGGGTTTCGTGTATCGAAATCTACCTTTCCTTTATCTTCTGTCCCGCTCCGCTAGACCGAGCGGTCTCTTACTACAGCGTACTATGCGATCAGAAAACGTGGGCCTTCTATATATTTTCTATTTTTATTTTAATTCCAGATATAATGTTTGTTTTCCTTGTAAATAGCAAAACAGCATTGTAGATTTGCGAGGATGGTGTTGGTCCGTTGAAGATTTATGGGGTCAAAGACAGGAATTGCAAAGTTACGTTTATAAGCGTAGGTATATTGTAAGATTGCTAAGGTATATTATACCCAGATTTTTCTTTTGAGTTTTATCTAATTTCCTTATTTCCTACACACTTAATCCATATAAATTCATATACCTAGTTAGGTACCATTTCATACTACACTAACTCACCGGCACAAAAAACGGCCACCTTAAAATTTTTGATGTATCTATTTTAAAGTTTCATATATTTTGTTTCAGTGGGCCGATTTTGATGATTTTTTAAGCGATTTGTAGCTAAATTATTTCACTTTTTATTATCTTTTTCTAAATTAAGAATGAAAGTTCCTATCTGTCAATTATACGAGGGAAAACAAAATCAAAATGTTGATATTTTGGTGAAGGTCTGAACCCTGTGGAATGTTAAAAAACAAGTAATTTAAAAATCATTTTTTTCATCTAGGTAGGTACATCTTTTCTCGATAGTTTGTTTTTTGGTTCATCTCAATAGCTGTATTTTTGTTGGAGATATTGGCTTTTGAAGAAGACACTAACATTTATAGGTATAGTGTATAAGACAAGGGTGTATAGTAAGGGTATGGGTATAGTAAGTATAGTAGGACCTAAGTCAGTCCATTTCCATTTATAACCATATAGTTGAGTAGGTAGGTATTCAAACAAAGTAGGAATCATAGCTATGTTGAAAATACTAGTAGGTACCTAGTACCTAGGTTAGATAGTCTGTGCGACAGATCCCAGCCACCCCTGACAGTTGTGTCTGTCATTTTAATTCACAGGCAAATCGTATTTTCTGTCATTTTTCGTCTGTCGAAATCGTCCATGAATCATTGGACAGACTATACAAGGTTTATTTTAAAAATAGAGTTACCTACAAAATCCAACAAATATATTTTATAAATTATTAGTATTTTAATAAAACACGAAATGTTTCACAAAGAACCAACCTCAGACTCAGTACCTATTTATTTTATAAATTAGTCTGCGATGGTAATACATATTAGGTTCTGAAGATGTTAAACATTTATATAAATAATAAATTTATTAAATAAATTTGCCAAAAGTTTCGTAGAAATATTGAAGAAATTATGAAGCCGACTGCTAAATATAGCCAAATGGTATCCTAAAAAGATTTCTAATATTTTTCAACATCCAAAGCTTGATTGATCATACAGTATGTATCTAAAAAAGCATTGTTACACACGTACAATCCTTGATTATGTATAAAATATATAAACAAGGGTACAACATAACATTAATTAAAGTTTTATCATGAAGCATGCTTTGTATATTGCCAGATAAACATCTCTCAAAAGAAATTACACTATTTTTTTTATAAATGTCAAAGCCCGTTTAAATGAATTACCTAAATTTGTGTAAAAAATAAAGGGATGGTCTATAAACTAATCTAGGTACCAATGATTTACAATTTATATAAATATGTACGAATTTTGTTCTCAAAATCGAGCTCATTCGCTAACAGAATTTTATTCACCGTTTGGCTTCTCTCATAAATAAAATAAGGCGTCAATAAATTCGTTTCCTTGGGCGAAACACGGCCATAAAAAATCCGTCCCATATGACAATCGGAGAAATTCCGGACGTGAACGTGGCAACGCCGCCGACCCGAATGAAGTCGATGTTTTCGGGTCGCGTAGTAGGACGGTTTTAATTGAGGCCCGGCGGACAAGCCGACTTTTCTGTGCCGGGGGTGCGGTGGGTAGAACTTTTATTGTTCTAAAAAGGGTATAGAAAATTTTGTGCGTTCCGTTGTTACAATAGCTTCAATAGCCTATTCTGCTCTCTCTCTCATTTCCTTTTTTTTATCCGTTTCGCTACAATTTTATTATTAATTCTATTGTTAAGGGAACAAGTGCAGAGACTGTCGAGACGTAGCCTTCTAATAATGAACAGAAAGAGAATATTTCAGGCTTCGGCTCGGCGTAAGCTGTAGATTATAAGTTTTTAACAATACGTAAAATCGCGTGATCCGGCTCAAAGTTCAGTTAATCTGATAATAGTTAAATTGTTTGGTAATACCAATTGTTTACTTATTTTCTTATTTATCAACAAAGACCAAAGGAAAAAATACTTACTCAACAAAATCAATAATTGAAAAAGTCACGTCCTAGAAGGTACCTAATATCTAGAAAATGTTAATTTTTTATTATTTTTTCAGTAAAAAATGTAGACAGTCCGAGCAAAACTAGCCGTCTCTGAAAACATTTTGCGAAAATCCTTTTTTAACAATTTTTCCACCTGTTCCAACAAAATGGCGTCGGATTCGGGCGTATCCTCTCCGATTGCACATTTTACCAGTACAAGCATCGGTTTCCTATTATCCAACTATAACACTTCAAGATTCACACAAAATATATCAAATGTGGATGATTTTATCTTTAAGATGGTGTATTAAAAACAAAAATTATGGAAAATGGTGTGGGAACACTGCAAATCCGATAGCAGAGGAACCGACGACGTAGTGCTCAGCTCGGTATGCAAGATCAAAATGGCCGATTTCCTACGCGAAAACCGAGTCGATGGAATAGAAAAAGAGCTCTTGACTCATCCCCACTCTAGTTCCTATTAAAGTGGGATGCCATATTTGTTTGGGAACGGAATGTTTTCAACAAGTTTAATATTCCTCTCCAATCACAAATATTTCAGGCCGAATCTTTTCCATCTATCGGCGACTAGCTTGAACTATAAAACCATCATAGCTTTAAGCTGAATCAATATGGAAGAACTGAAGAAAGCTTGAAGAAAAGTGGATATTATATTGAAGATCGCCTCACAGAGGGTGAGTATATAAAAGTATATTTGGTTGCATAACCACAATAACTAAAGTACAAATAAATTATAAGAGTACGGAAAAGTATGCATTGTTCCGCAATCTGGCAATATTAATATATTAATCTAGTACTAGTATTACTAAACAACGATTAAAACTATAGAATAGTGTAGAATGTGTAGATTCAGTGGAAAATCATATGGTTTTATGGATATTGTGCTATTCTTATGTTTAAAACTGGTTAAAACGAAACAACAATGAAGAAAATGGAGGAAGTCCGTAGTAAACTACTTACTAAAACCCTTCTAAAACTTAGGAGTAATATAAGAAGGGAGAAAGAGAAGAACGATACCAAACGATACTGACACTGAAAAGAAAAGGATGCATAAACAATATGTAAGCAAGAATGACCGACTTCACTGACTTAGAAAAAAAACGCGAAGAAGATCGAGACCAACTAGGGAAAGAAAGAGGAACAGAAGCATGAAGCATTGCGATTTTAGACGTCAGCAAAATAAGATGAATTTGTTTTTACCTACACAAAATATCTAGGCAGAATAGACTTGAAAAAATTCGAAGATTTAAAGATAAAACAATGCAAGATTATGAAACAAGCATGGCTTAAAAAACTGCCTTAAAATATTAGGTAATTTAGAAATTTTATAAAAAAATTAACGGTGGGCGATTGCGATTGCCGCGATTGTGGCGTAGGTAATTTGGGAATGCACACTTAGAAATAAATCAAGAGGAACCTTATTCGGAAATTTTGGAAAATGAGAAATTCCTTCTGAGAAAAGCTTTGAAGATGTGAAATATAGGAAAAATAGGGGACAAAAGACCAAAGTTTCATGCAATTCTAAGAATATTATCCAGAAAAGAAGTAGGAAGTTTAGAAATTAATTTAGAGAAGGTGAAGAATTCGATAAAGATCCATCTGTAAACTTTAAATCTTAAGCCACATACGTACAACAAATCAGTCAACTTAGTTTATGTACCACTGAAGTTTGAAATAGCTGCAGTTGTAATTAGATGGGATTTACAATAATAGCAGGTAGTCATTGCGCTGCATATCACTGCCTCTGGAACACCCTTAAAAGAAAAATTCCACTCCTCAAACTCCTAGTGGACGACATATCAAGAATGTACAACTTTGAGAAACACCTCACACCTCACAGTAGTAGTGCGCA